TTAAGTCTACTCCCAGTCATGAGACGTTAGCTGAGAAGCTCCCCCGACCGCACTTCACGGTACCAAGTCCCCTGGTCTAAGTCGGGACACAACAGTGGCGACGATCATGAGATGTTACGTGAAGTGTCGGAGTACCATTCGAAGTTTCATCATGCTTCAAGTTACAAGCTTATCGACTCTTCTGGTGAGATTGTCAAGAAGAACCTCTCTAGTTAGGCTTCGCCTGCATCCATTTCAAGTTATTGGACCAGTTGTTAGTACCACCTTGCCATGTCGTTTGTTCGTTTTCGGCGGTGTGTCTGTCATCAACCACGTGTCACGCTAGGTTATAAAGTTCTATTGCTCTAGCAAAGTCATGTGTCATGTCCATCAAATCTTCAAAGGTTCTCTCTGTTCTGACTGTCACCTCTACTTTGGTAAACAAGAACTTCAAACATTATGTAGTCATACCTCATCGTAAGCTTTACCCTTGCTGTAAGCTGCTGTCCTTAGGTTTGTCAATCCTTGGTCTTTACAAGTATCGTTCATAAAACCTTCCATGTACGTCAGTCATTGGCTATGTCTATTTCTAATCCTATCTTAAAAATTGGTGTAACTCTTTGTTCCAAGTGTATAGGAATTTAAGAAGTATGTCTGTCTAATTGCGTACATCCAAAAGTTCAGCGTCTTTGGTCTTACTCTGCATTTGTTTGTCTCAAAGTTTAACCTTGTGAGTGTGTTAGGTTGAGCTACCAACCTCAATAGTCTTTGTGTTCGTACTGAACACTGCTTTTTTCTTTTTTCTTTTTGTGTGTCAAACAATGTACCTAATCAAATGTCTTTTTCTTAGAGTTAAAGTCAGTATCTAGGCTTGGTCTTATCAAAGCTAAGGTTCCAATGAACGCCTCGCTAGAAAAAACTGGTGTGCCTTTTGTTCATAAATCAACTCTTGTCTGTGATATGTATTAGGTTTACCCTCATCACTTCTGGAAAGTAAAAAACTTTTTCTCATGCTAGCAATGTGCTAGGCATTCAATTTAAGTCTTAATGTGCTGTCCGCACTTTGTCTCATGTTTTAAATTATTTATTTTATTTGTCAAAGAAAAGCGTTTTGTGCCTTTCAGTCCTGACTGTGCCGTGTGCACTCTGTTCTTTTTGTCTCCACGTCTGATCAGCGTCAATTCAAATTAAAAGTCAAAATGTCGTAAATAAAAATTTCCGTGCCCCTGTGCACTGTCTGTTTGTGTCAAATCAAACTGTCTTGCAATTGCAATTGTGTTAATAGCACTGTCCTTTTCTTACTCGAGTTTAGTTTTAAGTCTCATTGTCGTTTTGTTCATCTTTTATCATTTTTAACGTCTTTTGAAATTTGTCAAATCAAACATGTAATCAAGCTGTAATCCTTGTCCTCAAGTCATAAGTCTTGCTCTGATGTCGTAAATTTGTCAATTTTGTCTCACATTGTCGATTTCAAAAGTTTATCATCGTCTAATGTATGTCACATGTCAAGTCATTTAATTTAATTTTCACTGTGATCTTCGGGTGATCTTTATCATGTCCTTTGTTTTCAAATGATGTATCTTTTTAACTTTTGTCAACCTCCTTAACGCAGTTCTTTATTCAACTTTTTCAAGGGGAGGATGGGTAAGATGTGTAATTACATTGTAGTCAATTCACAAATTATTGTTATCTAATTTTAAGTCTTTATTTATTGTGAGTTTTTATTCATTCAACCTTTTCAAGGGGAGGATGTGGTGTATCGAAAGTGTATCGACAGTCTCGATCCTGTAGTGTAAATAGTCATGTCTGTAACCCCTTATAACCCTGTCCAACATGTCTGAATAAACCAGTCTTCGTACCAGTTAAACCCGTTGAACTAGTCATTAAGTCTACTCCCAGTCATGAGACGTTAGCTGAGAAGCTCCCCCGACCGCACTTCACGGTACCAAGTCCCCTGGTCTAAGTCGGGACACAACAGATTAGTATTACTTTCGCTGTCAGTCAGAAACCTTAGTGTTCATTCAGGAAAACGAATGTGAATCTTTGTGCGGCCGGCCGCTGGGCGGGCCTAAAGGCGGGCGGGGATTATGGTGGCGCGCTTGGCGCGCTTTGTGCGGAGTGCGGGGCTGGTGGCGTACTCACACCGGAGGAACGGCGCCACGAGCCGGACCCACTTGCAAGAGGAATTCGAGGGAAATTCGCGAACCTAGAAGATGATGTCGAGAGGTAGGCGTGGAGCACATCACCCCCTGCCCTCCTTCAACCCCTTCCCCCTGCCCACGCTTTTATCATTTTATTTTTTCAACCATTTTGAATTATTTTCCAATCACTTTAAATCACTTTCAATCATTTACAATCATTTTATAAAAATAAAAAAAATTGACATTCCTATGATTAATCACGTTTAATCATCACTTTCAATCATCTTAAATCATACAAATCCTGGCTGACGCGTTACGCGAGCTGAGCTCTCAATCGTTTCATTCAATGCCAATTATTTTAAATCTCTTTCAATCATTTTACAATCATTCGCAATCAGTTTTGATTGCAGTCACTACGATTTTTTTAGGAGTGGTGGACACCTTGTGTCAGATCATATCTGGCCCGATTGCAAACACTACACCACACCCAGAAAAATGTTTTCTTATTTCAAGAACATTTTGACCTAAGATCAATTTTAATCTTGACACAAGATGATATTACCTTTCGTTTAAGAAAATTTTTCTAACTTGAAAGAAAAAATCGTCTTGATAACAAGAAAAAAAATAATCTTGGGTCACTTCTAGTACAAATGGACTTGAAACAAGAAATCATTTTTCTGGGTGCATGTGGGTGATAAGTTCGCCCCGCTCACACCCCCTTACCTGGACTGTATCGCATGCGCCCGGGAAGTTGCCTTACAGTTCAGTTTATAATGGTTGTACCGGGTGGCTGACTAAAGCCGCAGTTATATTGACTTTCTCAGTTATACTGTACCACAACGCTCGGGTGCGGGCGGTTTTGTCATCCTTGCTCCTTGCTGCCCACAGCTCCTTAAGGCCCCGTACGAGTAGGCAACCCGCCCGCGAGCGTGCATGCGGTATAGTATAACTACGAAAGTGCGCGGCTGCGCGGCGTGAGTCAGCTGAGGGATGGTGGGGCACAAAGTGTCACTTTTTGGTAAATCTTCTCTAGCAGTCATAATACAGGTAGAATTTCGGATTTCAGGGTTGGTGTGCCTCTATTCGACCTTTATTCACAAGAAACCAGTGAGACCTCCCAAAAACATTCGTGTCTTCTCTCATTTCATTGCGAGAGGAGACGTCGGTCATTGGCAGTGTGTGCCGCGGGGTTGGAGCACTTACTGTCACCATGTCTATATCGGTATATAACTCATAGGATACTTGGATTTTTGGAATGGTCAGAATGGCATCTTGGAAAGGAATCATACCGCCCCTAAAAATCAAAATTACACTCAAACCGTCATCACAACAACAGATCATAAACTGAGTCAATTTACTTGTTCCAATGTACTGTCAATAA